TCTCTCTCTCTCCTTACGTCTACTCTCTCTCTCTCTCTCTCTCTCTCTCTCTCTCTCTCTCTCTCTCTCTCTGTCGTTCACTTTACTGATTCTCCGTAGCGCGCCCGTGTGGCTTCGTCAGACGACAGCGAGGATCTACCGCAGCTCGGGGAGAACTACCTTCCTCTTTGCAGAGAGAGAAAGAGAAAATCCGTCTTCGCTCGTGGTGAACTTCAAAGATCGTAATCTGATATAATTGCCTTTACGCTTCGCCGTGGCCCCCGGTCTCGCGGATGACGATGCTACTCAGCGCACTGCCGCAGTCCTGGCTATCAATTCTACCCTGCTCGCTTCCCTGACACACAACAAGTTTACAGGAGAAGAGCTAGAGAGGGAGGCGGGCGTGCGTGCGCGGTGCTAACACGCGCACCGTGGCAACAGCACACCGACGCGAGGCTCTGGCGGACGCAAATGGACCACGCGGAGTTAGAGCGAAGCCAGCCTTTTTCTCGATAGTCGTAAATTCAGCTGATTTCACATCGATTATTCTGGCCGGTTGGCAGCGCCATCTATCGATCAGCGCGCGAGTGAAGGCGAGGGGTTTATCAGCGGCGGCCGCTTAGAATTTTGCGGGGCCGGGAGTGGAGAGATGTCGGTTTGCTTTATTCGCGTGTATTATTGAAAGCGACGAATTCGGAATGCGGTTTTTCGCGCTCTTATTTCTCGTCGGTGGCGTTCGATTGAAAATACGCCGTGTTTACACTGTCGGTTTTCGTCCCCGCCTAGCCACGAACCTGCCGCCATCACTTATTCACGTGGCGACGCGAATAGAAAGGTGGCTTTATTTGAGGTCGTCGTCGTCGAACGTCCGGCCAATATGAGAGAGAGAGAGAGCATGTGAAATTTTCGAAGCGTGGAGGCTCGTAAGGATAGCGAGATTAAGCGGCAAAGCCCATCGCTCCTTCTCTGCTTTGTTGGTAGAAACTCGTGCCTGGGTACGACCGCGTGCGTGGGTACGACTGCGGTCTTCCTTCCCTTTGACTCTGATAACAAAACCTATTCATTCAGACTGTAAGGTGTGCAGCTATCAATATCACAAAGATGCTGCTTTTTATAGACGCGCACGTGACGTGAGAGGAATGCGGAGAGCAAGGCAAGAAGCGAAGGAGGAGGATGAGGAGGATGAGGAGGAGGAGGAGGAGGAGGAGGGAGACAAAGAATGCGCGGGTAATGAGAAGAAATAACGAGAGAGATGGAACGCGAGAAACGTGTGCATGGCAGCGAGTTCTAACGATCGTCTGATAAGAGTGTCTGGGTAAAGAGAGAGAAGGGGAAGAAAAAAAGAAAGAGAGAGAGAGAGAGAGGAGAAGTACAATGAGAGAGCG